GGGAGGGGAGGGAGGGAGGGAGAGAGAGAGGGAGAGAGGGAGACAGGAGCAGAGAGAGGCTTTTAAAATTCCTCTCTGGAGAGATAAACATAGAAGCCATTTCAGAACAGGTATTTCAGCTCTGGGCCTGGCGTCTTTCCCCCATTCCCGTGACGGGCACTGACTCATTCCTCATCCACCTCTGACACCCGCCCTAGCATTCATGAGAACCTGTGAAAATCTACCTTGTCACACGTGGACAGCCCCCAGGCCCCCAGGATGGCCCAGTGCCCACTTGCTTTGGGCACTGTCCTCAAGGCAAAGGGAGCTGAAAGGTCTGAATGGGTCAGGTACCTGCCCCTCTTACACCAAGGAGGCCAGGGCCCAGCTCACAGCGGCACTACCCTTCTTCCCAGGCTGCCCCCTGCCTCAGGCCTGGAGATCCCAGGGCTGATGCCCACTGCCCTGAGTCACCCATGCCAGCCTCACACCCGCCCAGCTCACTGCTGCCTCATCTTTGCCTAAAGCTGGGCCTGGCTTGGCTGCGTGTGGACTCCACACTGGCCTGGCTTTCCTTTAGTCCTGGGTATGGTAGGGTGAATGTGTGTGTGTTCCGATGGACAGGGCAGAAGCTATGCCTGGTGGGCGCACCCATCACCCCCCTCCAGGGGATACAATCTTCTCCAATTAGCACTCCTTTGACTCTTGCTCTCCATCTGGGAAGGGGGGCAGCGGCGGCGTCAGGGAAGGCGGGGAGGTGGGGGCAAGGAAGAGGCTCCTTCCTGAAAGAGAGGAAACCTGGGAGCTTGGGAACGGAAAAGGCCAGGGTCCCCCCCCCACTCACGGCTTCCTGTCCCCTCCTCCTCCTTCAGCCAACACCTGGCATGGGCATAAACAGGGACTTTGCTCTCTCCCTCTACGATGAGATTGGGTCAAAGAAGCAAAGACCAGACAGTAAGAAGTGAGGTGGGGGAGGGCTGGCTGACTGCACTGCCCGGTTGGTGGCTGATGGGCAAGAGGGCATTGCCCTCTGGGGTTGGTAGCCCAACATGCCACAGATGACAGACACCACCCCCCCCAGGCAATGCCACCACAGAGTCAGAAGAAGCCGGCACAATATACTCCTCAAGGCGAGTTGGAGGCAGGCCTGCTAGGGCTGGGGGTGGCCCAGCTGAGTGGTGTTTTCCTGACCCCAAGGTGCCCAGCCCTCCACTCCCTACTTCATCACTTCACTGTACCCGCCTCTCCTGTTTTCCCGCAAATATTGTTCCGATAACTTCAGAAAACTGAAGAACAAAGAACAAAGGGGTCCGATGGAGCTTCTTCCTCCCAGTACCATTTGCCTCACAGCCCTAAACCTGCCCAAGAGAAATTAACTCCTTCCTGCCTAGAGCCCTCAGTAACCCTTTAACCCCTTCCTGTCCTTCCGAAACTTTCCATGACCTCCCTCCCTACTTCTCTTCAGTTCTACAACCTGAACCTCAGAAACAGGTGACTCCCTCAGCCTACCACACACAGCATGTCCCTCACTCATGACACCTCAAAAGACCCTTCTGTGGGAGGGGAACTTTCCAGGGTCACCTTAAATACAGAATGAACCCTTAATGCCAGCAGCCCAAGTCCCTCCCTAGGGGTCCTTCCAGGATTACTGTGAGCATTCTGCTTACTCCTGATGTTCCGACCTGTTAGTGTGGGCAGATGCCCAAGTGACACCCAAGGAGAGGCACAGAGGGTTTGGCTGTGGAAGAGCCTAGAACGAGAGCCCTGACGGCCAGGGAGAGTGGCCCCTGCAGGAGGCAGGAACTGTTCGGCATGGGTCCCTCACTTCGGAGTTATAGGGGTGCCAGAGGGAAGGAAAGGAAGGGCAGAACAGAGCCTGTGCAAGCAGACTGCAGGTAGGGTTCTGCCTGGGGTGGGATACTCACAGTTAGGGGAGAGAAGAAAATCTACGGGACCCTCCCGCCTCAGGTCACCTCCCCAAGACTCAGGTTAGGGGCTGGCCAGGACCGTTAACCTGGAGGTGGGGTGGGCAGTGCCAACGGGGC